TTTGCCCTTGATCTAATGTCTGCATATGAGGGAGAACATATGATTTTTGGTCTTTTGGGCCAGGCTAACCTCACTCAGAATGATGTTCTCCAGTTCCATCCATTTACTTGCGAATGGTAAGATTTCATTCTTCTTCATGGCTGCATAAAATTCCATTGTGTATAAATACCACACTTTCTTAATTCATTCGTTGGTAGTGGGGCATCTTGGCTGTTTCCATAACTTGGCTATTGTGAATAGTGCTCCAATAAACATGGGTGTGTAAGTGCCTCTAGAGTAACCTGAGTCATATTCTTTTGGGTATATCCCCAAGAGTATTGCTGGATCATATGGTAGATCTATGTTCAGATTTTTAAGAAGCCTCCAAATTTTTTTCCAGAGTGGTTGTACTAGTTTACATTCCCACCAGCAGTGTAAAAAGGTTCCTTCCCCCCCACCCCCCATCCTTACCAACACCTGTTGTTAATGATGGCTATTCTATCAGGGGTGAGGTGGAATCTTAGTGTGGTTTTAATTTGCATTTTCTTTATGGCTAGAGATGGTGAGCATTTTTTCATGTGTTTTTTGGCCATTTGAATTTCTTCTTTTGAGAAAGTTCTGTTTAGTTCAGTTGCCCATTTCTTTATTGGTTCATTAATTTTGGGAGAATTTATTTTTTGAGTTCCCTATATATTCTGGTTATCAGTCCTTTGATGTGTAGCTGGGAAATACTTTCTCCCACTCTATGGGTGGTCTCTTCAGTTTAGAGACCATTTCTTTTGTTGAGCAGAAGAAAAAGCTCTAGAAATTAATGCTCTCAAACATCCTTAACAAAGCATTACAGCAATTAGGGATAGTGCACATAATTTGTAAGGCAAATAAGAAAACAAAAATAGGAAAATAGTCACTTTGGATTTTCTAGGTTTCATTCTTCCAAAGAGTTCTAGAACTTACCCCCAAACAAGTGCATCTGGTAGCAAGAATTAGTTTCTTTTCTATACTCTAAAAACACTAAGCAATAGGCTCAATGGTAAATGGAGTCTAAAACAGGAATTAAGTTTATTTAAAATTGACCAGGATGAAGCATAGAGAAAAGTCTCTTATATGCTTTTGCTCAAAGGAAAAAATCCTTCAGAATGTTGTCACATGTGAATAGACCACCAAACTGGTATTTTTCTCTTTTTATGGTGAAAAGTCCATACGTATGCTACATGTTGAGTGTGAAAAGCTAAAGTGTAAGATGGTAATTGTGGACTTGGAGCTTATCAAGGATTCGGGTTTATGAGAAAGTGACTGGTGAGAACATCTGTCTCTTATCACTGATCTTGCAAAAAATCAGGTAATTCAAATAGAGGCGTGTTGTTTCCTCTCCTCTAAAGCACAGTTCTATAAACACAAACCACATTCAGCCTGGTAAATGAATCGCTTTAATTGAATGCTATGTACACAGTAACTGGAAAAACCATAAGTGATAAGAAAAACATATGGTGATGGCAAGCAGAAATTGGTTTATTCATTTTGCATAGTGTTGTTTCTTTAGTTCTCTTATAATTGACCTTTAGAACGATAAATGTGTAAAATAATTTTGTTTATTATGGCTCCAAACCTTCCAACAATTACACAAAATGAAAATTTAAAAGGAAGGACTCATTCTGGAAGCATTTCCATTGTTTACATAATTGCATAGCTATAATTTAGTGCTCATGTTGTTATGGAAAATAAAAAAGGGCCATTATGGGGCCATTTCAATTCAAAATATTGCACAGTGGTGTCAAAAAAAGGGGGAAAATGTTCACTTTAAAGCAGCTTAAAATGAATTAACCCTATAAATAAAAACATTTCAATACACTATTCTATGAAACACAAATATTCAAGAAGTAGTCATTCCTCAAACCATATTAGAAATGTTGCAACTGTACTTCCACACCAATAACATATATATTATTCACTTAATATTTGCTCATGGCCTAGCAGATGATGGCTGTAACACAATAGCTGGCCATCTGTCTCTCTGCCTTTCCTTAGCAGGCTTGTGCCTGCTTCTCAAGAGCAAACAGATCCGGTTATTCTACCTAAAGTCACTTAGTCCCTCCATGAGGCCAAACAGAATCATCAAAAAATGAAATCTGAGTATGCAAGAATCATTTAATTTCTCACTTAACTTTTTACTTTAAGAAAACTACAATGCTCAACGGATTTTATTGCTATTTTTCAGAAAAGATGCCTATCTTTTATCTAGGAAATTTTATAGGAAGCTTTTTTTATTTAGCAAAATGGGGAATGTTAAAATATGCTTATTCTAGTAATCTGGCTAATAAAAAGCCAAGACTCATTCTATACTTGGATAATTAATTATAAAAATATGTGAATGCAGAGAAATGCTTTTAATACTAAACCTGTATAAAATTCAAGCTTTCCTTAAAAACGAAATGCAGCCATAATCCTGAAGTACCTTGAGGACATATTTGTGAATATTAATTACTGCCTGATTGGCAAAGCTCAGAAATGCTGAGTGATGAGAGTTATCAGAAGAATAGATCTAAAAAGGCCTCCAATCCCAAGGCCTGGTCCTGTCCTTTCTGCTCATTCAGTTCTGTGCACAAGGACACCCTTTACAGACTACAACACTCTATCTGGCCTCTGGTGACAAAAAATAAATAAACAAATAAAGCTTTTGCTATTATGGCCCTTAAAAAAAAAAAAAAAGGCACAGCAAAACACAGCACCAGTATTGTGCTTCCAGAAAAGTCACTGGAATAAAAAGATAGCAGTATACTGCTGCGAATTACTTTCAAGTTCTGGGACAAATAATATGTAGTATGTACTATACATTATTTGTTAAAATGGCCAAGTATGGTGCAATCTGTTCTGGAAAAAAAGCAGAAATTTTTACAAGTGCTGGACAAAATGTGACTTCGTCAGGTATAAATGCATTACCAGGACTTGGAAAAATATAACAGAACAGAGTAATTGGGTTCTGGGGCTGAAAATCAAAGTGACCTAGAGTTTTTCATCATAAGAACTGTTGTGGAAAAGATAACTTAAGTTTTCAGGACAGTGGCATGCAAAGGAGAGGGGAGTGGTAGGCATGAAACAAACTTCTGATGGCCACAGAGCTGCTTGGATATCTGTTTAGTGGGTTTCAAGAGTGACAGAATAAACAGGCAAAGGGCATAAAGATGCTGCAACCTGCAAACCCAAAACAAAAGCGTTGATTTTTTTTTCCTAATGATTCCTTTACAACTAATCCCTCAATTATGAAGAAAAATTCTGCTGGTCTTTATGTTGATGAAGACTATCTGCTTATCCTGCTTTACGAAAAGTGAATGACAAATAAATCTGAAACACTGCATATGAGTTTCATTTTATATTGTAGCTAATAAGTCACGAGCCTGTCTTGCCTGCTTCTTTTTTTTTTGCTATTTTTAACAGCTTTATTAAGATATACTTCATGTATAATATGAATAAAATTATACAATAAAACCATATACAAAATAACTTTTAGTACAGTCACAGAACTGAGGAATCTTCACCACTATTTAATTTGAGGATATTTTCATTACC